CATTCTGTTCAGGATATCGCTTAAAGTTTGCCAAGCAGAGAATTTCGGTCCTCACATTTTTTTTTTTTAAATATAGGATCTTGATTTGGATGCATTCGCCGAAGAACTGGCACGGCAAGGCTTTGGCAATAAAAGTATTACCTTATACGATATTCGAGCGGAGCTAAATCACCGGTACAAGGATCTTCGGATCCCATACGAAAGCCCGTCCGCTGAGCGAGTCTTCACGATGCTGACCAAGGAAACTTCCGATTCGATCGGTAGGTCCTGACTTGCCTACCTATTGTTCCCCTTCATTCTGGCATAAAACAAGAAATTTTTGGGGAGTAAAAATGACTATCTATTTTGGTCTCTGCTGCAAGTGAAAATTTTCAGGGAAGCTAGTGATGGGACGAGTAATGCACATAGTTTACCGTAAACCAAAAGGTCCAGAAGAAAACGAAAGAGTGCCGCCCGTCAGAGATGAACGAACGGGCCAGTGGAAATGCCAGTATTGTTTTAAGCCAGATTTCAGCAATACGAATGAGGTATTTTTGTCACTTCACGATTTTCCTCAGTTTGTGTGCCAGTCAAGACGGATAGCATCATTCACCATGTACGATGTGTCTAATTAAAAATGCGCTGTGAATACTACCGTATTTATTATTTTGCGATTGTAACAGCTCCCCTCGTGGGCCACATTCGAGCAGTAAATGAGACATTCCACGAAGAAAGGAAGTGAAGCTAAAAGTCTGTTTATGGGAAACAGAAGCTAGTAACGGCTTGTGGATGTAATTTTAAAAAATTTGGTTATGTTGTCTTGTGTGATCAGGGATTAAACCGACGCCGTACTCATTGATTGAGGGCAAAAAGTAGAAAGTCTGCCAGTTATTTGCTATGCTAACAGCAAATTGTGAGATTAATTATTCGTGATTAGAACTTTGGTGCGGGGAACACCTTGGATGACCTTCAAGAACTGTTATTCCTATATAACGGATGTTGTATTACAAAAGGTGAAAATGGATGGTTGTGGAGGAACGGGCTCTTGGCCGCATATCGTAAATATTGGAACTGTGTGCTGGTAGTTGGATGGTCTTTGTGACTTCAACATTTGATCCACCAAACAGGTTTCTTTACCTGTGGATCATTTTAAGGTTTGGCAGCATATTGATTCGTGCCCAGGCCAACCAGTGGGTGTTAGAGTGCGCTTCGACAGTGGTATCACCGGCTTTATTCCAAATAAATATTTGTCCGATCGGCCTGATTCGTTTGTGGATCCGGGCGAAAGAGTTCGGGTATGTCTTTTAGCATATATTTTTACAGCACTGGAACTTGGCAAAGCTAGCTGTGATCTGTATTTCTGTAACACTGATAAGAACGATTTTGATGGCGGCCGCAGTAACTGTAGGAACTATGTAATTGCTGTCCGTGGAGGAAGCGCAGTAGCAATAAACCTGTGTAATAACAACATCAGATTTCCAGCGTAATCAGCCTGTTTACTGCCGAATATTGGAATTGGATCCGGACAAATTTTCGGCAACGTGTTCGTGCCGTTCTTCTGATCTCAGAGGTCTTCAGCCACAAAACAGCGAATATGATCGATATTTTGACAGGCAAACGTGTCAGGTAACTGGTGTTTCAAGCTTGCGAAAAATATACGTTTTTCCATTTTTTGATGTTGTTGCTTTGCTTACTGAGATGCACTTGTTTTACAGGAGGACGATGAAAAGGCCAGAAAATTAAA